TCTGCAGCAAGGACCTGCTTTGGAAAGCCCCCTCTTTGGAGGTGAATGTGGCAGCATTGAAACACCACCCAGAAGCCGACAGACACTAACTGCAGAGTCATGGGACGGCTCTCACAGATCTTGCACATGCATAAAATGAGAGATCTGCAGGAAGGTGGGGGGGGGGGCGTAGTGAGGAGGCCGGAGGGATCAGTTGCCCCGGGAGACAAATAATATAAAATTTAGTGCTCCTAAAGAGATAGTTGCCAACTTGGATCTTCAAAGATATCTATCTGATTTTTACACACCTTTGAAAATCTTGTCATAAGTGTCCTAGTCAGTTCTGAATGTGAGATGTAGGAGGCCAGTCCTAATTCCTTCAGGTTTATTTGTTTGTTTATTTATTTATTTATTTGCTTGCTTGTTTGTTTATTCATTCTGTGGGCAGAGTATGGGCTCACAAGAATTCCTCCATTGTTTTACCATGAGTCTCAAAACATTTGGTGTTTTTCTAAAGACCTGGAGTCAATTGATTATGTAGGAATCTCAGCTTTCATTTAAAAAGAGTTCTCTATACTTCTGGGCCTTACCGCTAAGGAGGAAAGTTTTAAAACATGAACCCTAAATACTCAAACAAAAGGCCAATAAAAATCCAACATGTTTTATTTTTTAAAAAATCTTATGATTTGTAGACCAGTCTCATAACTTTGTGAAGGTGTTCCTTGTGATTTTTGGGTTGGCAATATTGCTCTTTGATTGGTGAATTTAGAGAGATCTCTCCCTTCAGTTTCCCTTTCCACCCTCCTTTTTTGTCTCAGGTCATCAGAGAATCATAGAGACAATGGAGAGTAGGGTGAGTCCATGATTCTGGTTAATGACTGGTCAGGGTGACTAACTATTATCAGCCAGTGGTCTGAATGAGCTATCTACTGCCATCTGTTAATCAACTGTCACATCTAACTGAAAGTCACAGAAGATGGAAACAGGTTTTATTTCTGGTGGTATAGAGTCTATTTGGGAATCCTCAATTATATCTGACACTTTACATCCAGTGTTTAAAGGCAGAGCTGACTAGAATCAATTGAGAGTCCTTGTCTTGTCTCAGTGATCGTTTGAGCAAAAATCATTGATAAAATCTTGTGTAGACTGACCTAGGACTCAACATGCAGGCAATGTGTTGAAGGGCAGTGCAAAGGCAGCAATGGTGTGGTGAGGTACCATATTACCTAGTGAAATCATTGGTGCTGAAATCACTAAGGCCTGGAATTTGACCACAGAACTGACACTTTCTTAACAAAGACTCCATTTTTGCTATTTAAAAAATAAATCAATGTAACAGAAAACTGCAAACTTAATAAGCATACTCTCTATGCCAGGGGTGGCATCTGAGATGATTTTCAGTGGCACACGGGGTGGGAGCTCAGCCCCACCCCTACCCCCACACATAGCAGGGAGCCCATGCTGCGGCTTGAGCCACCAGCTCCAGCTTCTTGCTAAGAGAGGTGGCGTGGGATGCATGGTATGGTGCAGGGGCCAGGTGAGCTCCATATCCTGTGCAACTCATGGAAGCTAAAGAGTTAACAAACAACTCCCCTCCTGTGCTACAAGCTCTGCCTCCCGCTCTGGGAGGGGGCAGAGCTGGACCTTCTCTGCAGATCCAGGCTGGGCAGCTGGTCACATGTCGGGTGCCAGGGGCCAAGCTGTGCTGTTCCCTGCAAGGTGTGTGCAGGGGCAAAGAGCTCTTTTCCCAGTGCCCTGCTGCTCCCGGCTGGGCTGGAACCAGCCCCGGGGTCTGTCCACCCCAACCACAGAGCTGCAGCCTGCAGGTGAGAGGTGAGCCCCCTCATAAGGCTGGGCTGGGCAGGGAAGTGCCTCTGTCCTCCTCTCCTCATCCAAGTGCTGTTCCCCAAGGTTGCAAGTCCCAGCACTAGTGCCCTGCCAGTCTGTGTATTGAGGGGAACAGGGATGTGGTGGTAGTAAGGGAGTGAAGGAGGATACAGGGGAAGGATTGAAGGGGCAGGGCGATGCAGGGCAATCAGGCTAGGCGGATCATGGGGCTGAGGGGAGCGAGGCTGGAGCAGAGGAAAGGTGTGAGGGAGGGATACAAGTTCCCTTTGCAGAAGCTGCACTTTCCTTTACTCCCCACTCCTTTGCCTCCCTTCCCCCATCACAGCACAATCCTCTTTGCACCGTATTCTTTTTGAATGAGAATTGCAGCCAGTTTGTAGGCGATGCCAGAAAGCTGGGAGGTCTGTACATTATTTAGTAATCTGTAGCTCCTCTGCAGGTCTCCAGCAGAATAGCTGCTTTTAATGCCAGTGCATATTTCTGCTGGCAGCTCAGACCCTCGTTCATTATTTCCCCCAGTGCTCTGAGCTGTGTCTGGCTGGGGTTTGTTGCTTTTCCATGGATCCGTCTCCTACAGTCCCTGTTCTGACCCCTAAGTTACTGACAACACCTCATTGGGATTGCCAGAAAATGATCCAGGTCGAGGGAGACCTCCTCCCTCCATGATATTGAATGCCTTTTGGTTTAGGAATTTTAAGCTAAATGGCTGCTGCTTCTTCGAGTGCCCCATGGGTGCTCTACTGATGGCGTCGGGCTCATCCCGGTGCTGCAGCTCGGAGATTTCCAATAGCTGTGTTCAGCCGGGTCGTGCATGCGCAATCAACAGCTCGTGCCATTCGCACCCTTTGATCATTGTGCGCACCCGGCTTCCCACTCAGTTCCTCTCAACCATCCTCGGCCACAGACAGAGCTCTTATCTCCTCAACATTTCTTTCAATCTCCTCAGGACAACTGTTTAAAAAAAAAAAAAAAGCTTTTAATTTAGTTGTAAATAGGTTACCCCTTTTTTACTCAGCGTTTCTTTTCTTAGTAAAAAAACCCCCCGAAAACAAGTGATTTAATCCACGGCTTCCTGGTCAGCCGGTAGTGGCTTTAGCCACAGGCTGAAATTGACCAGAAACCTCACTAACACCAATAACACTGGTCTACAATTTTTTAGAAGTCGTCTGCTTCAGAGATAAAATGTGCTATTTATTATGTATTTTGATGTGCTGAATTCAAATATGACAATTAAACAATTGATTGGCTACTGTTTCCAAGATATTTAAGTTTTTACATTTTACGTCTATGTATATTGTGTAGATAGTAGAGTTTTAATCATAAATTGTAAACCTAGGTCTTTTCATGTGTTTATGGTTGCTTTACATGATAATATTTCACCTGTCCTGTTTATGTAACACTTTAAAAATCAGCAAAAGCGTTATATAAATAAAATTTATTATGAAACAAAAGGCAAAAAACTATTATGTACATAGTTTAGTCCTATTCAGTATCTACTCAGTGCTTCTTGGCTTGTCTCTTGTATTCATTAAATGCTTGTCGCTCACTGCTCTGCAGTTCAGTGGAAAAAAATCTAGATGAGAGTGCAAAAAATGTATCTTTAGTGACATGTTGCAACCAAGGCTTTTGTATGCCTTGAGGAGGTTTTTCACCAACAACCTGTAGTTGCCTGCCTTCTTGTTTCCGAGAAAGTTTATTGCGACTAACTGGAAGGCTTTCCATGCCGTCTTTTCCTTGCCACACAGTGCGTGGTCAAATGCATCATCTCAAAGAAGTTCACGAATCTGAGGACTAAGCTTCACTTAACCTTGGAAATTTTCCACGGAAGTACTTGAAAGCTGCTTGTGTTTTGTCCATGGCCTTGACAAAGTTCTTCATCAGACCCAGCTTAATGTGTAAGGGTGGTAACCAAATCTTCCTTGATTCAACAAGTGGTGGATGCTGAACACTTTTCCTCCCAGGCTCCAATGACTGTCGGAGTATATCTAGTCTGCAGACCAAGCAAGAGAGCAACAACCTTCAAATCGCCACAAAGCTTCCACTGATGTTGGTCATAGTTTATGCACCTCAAAAGTTGTTTCATGTTGTCATAGGTTTCCTTCATATGGACTGCATGACCAACTGGAATTGATGGCAAAACATTGCCATTATGCAGCAAAACAGCTTTAAGACTCGTCTTCGATGAATCAATGAACAGTCTCCACTCATCTGGATTGTGAACGATGTTGAGGGCTGCCATCACACCATCGATGTTGTTGCAGGCTACAAGATCACCTTCCATGAAGAAGAATGGGACAAGATCCTTTTGATGGTCACAGAACATGGAAACCCTAACATCACCTGCCAGGAGATTCCACTGCTGTAGTCTGGAGCCCAACAGCTCTGCCTTACTCATGGGTAGTTCCAAATCCCTGACAAGGTCATTCAGTTCACCTTGTGTTATGAGGTGTGGCTCAGAGGAGGAGGATGGGAGAAAATGTGGGTCCTGTGACATTGATGGTTCAGGACCAGAAGTTTCATCCTCTTCCTCTTCCTTGTCTGACTCAAGTGAGAATGATTCTGGTGCATCAGGAACCGGCAGTCCTTCTCCGTGGGGTACTGGGAATATAGCTGATGGAATGTTTGGATAATGCACAGTCCACTTTTTCTTCTTTGACACACCTTTCCCAACTGGAGGCACCATGCAGAAGTAACAATTGCTGGTATGATCTGTTGGCTCTTTCCAAATCATCGGCACTGCTAATGATGGTGTCGTCTACACGGTAAGGTTGGTGGGGGCTGCTCTCCCATTGACTCCAGCTGTTCTTCCCATTCTGGTGGAGTACTGGAATCAACTGGAGAGTGCACAGAGATCGATTTAGCTAAGCAGACATGAAAAATCAACGCCCATTCCATAGATCACTATATTGTCAATGCACCGCATAGTGAAGACAAGGCCTTTTTCTTACAGATTGGTCAATGTGCTCTTTATTTTAGCAAGATATGTTTTAAAATACTATTAGATTCTATGTAGTAATAATTCATATATTCAGGTTTGCCTTTGCACAGTGTATTATATCCAGTCTGTGAAATGTGTCTATCTCCTTATACCTCCCCATCACTGTATTACCTAAATATGCAATGTATGGTATTTGTAAAGCTTATTAACTAGGTTGATTCATGTACTTTCCCAGAGCAATCACCTCCTGGAAAGCCTGAGATTTTGAAGTGTCATTCTCCAGAAATGGAAACCTTTACTTGCTGGTGGAAGCCTGGCTCAGATGGAGGACTTCCTACCAACTACACTCTGCTGTACAGCAAGGAAGGGTGGGAAGCTTTGGCTAATTATTCAGTAGAATAGATTATTACTTTGCATCATACATATTTACAGCATCCAAACTCTCGCTTTATCTTCAAATTGCAGATAATTATCAGATGGCAAAGATGTTCTGATAGAATAGAGGAATATGTCCATGTCAATTTATGGATTTTATTTTTGTTTTATAAATGCTAATTTCAAACTCTGTTTTGAATGTAATCTTTAGTATGGCTTTGAGCCTTCCTTTGGCAGTTGGAAGAGTAGGGAATCTGTATCTGGAAGTCTGTGACAAAGCCATCAAAGGCCATCAACATTTAATAGCTCTGCCTTGGAGAAATAATGAGGTTGCTTCAGTAAAGTCATTGACTTTGAATGAACTCTATACACAGAAATCTATCTGTGGGCTGAAATTCCCCTGATCTAAGCAGGTGGCTTGGAGAGCTGCAGTTGGACCCCAACCAAAGAGAAACAAAATCTTTTTTTTAAAAGGTGTTTCTCCAAGAAAGGGGAGTAATTTCCTTGCCAGGAGCAGAAAACTGTCAGTGGGAATGCCTTCTCTAAAGGACTTAGGCCTTGGGCCAAATCCAGGGACTCTCAAAAGAGGATGAAATGAGGAATTTTTTACTTTTATTAATTGATTCAGCAAACCAGGGCTAAGAACTGCCAAACCTAGCCAAATTAAGCAATGAGATTACTTTAAGCATGTACTTAACTACTTGTGGTGGCAGAGGTACATACATGCTTAAGTTAAGCTTCTTTTAAAGTGTTTTGCTGAACTGTGGCCACTATTAGTAAATCAGATGGTTTACTTAATTTCCTGATCACTGATCTTTTTCATTTTTTAATTTCAGAAAAGAACAAACGTATGAATGTCCAGATTACAAAACTGCAGGTCCCAGTTCCTGTTACTTTGACAAAAAGCACACCAATCTCTGGACATCTTATAACATTTCTGTAAAGGCAACTAATGAGATGGGAAGTAACATCTCTAAACCTCATTATGTGGATGTGACTTCCATAGGTAAGAGTGGGGGCAAACAGAAAATAAAGTGGAGATAGTCCTGAGCTATACATCAGAGAATCAGAGAAAGCATAGAAATGTAGGGCTGGAAGGAAACTTGAGAAGTTATCTAGCCCATCTCTGACAGAAGTTTGTTTAGTCTTGTAGTAAGAAACCTGCAGCTTGCAGGCCACATGCGGCCCTTCAAGGCTTTGTATATGGCCAGGAGACATTTTGTTTACCTTTGCTCCCGCACAGGATTGCCAGATTCTGCTGGTTTCCACCCATGTAGGTTTTTTCCTGCCAGTATTAGTAGGGTGACATGTACATGAAGCAAGGGCACTTGAAGTGATGCACATGCTGGTTGCATAAAATAATGACTGCGAGCACTGTTCACTACTTCAGTTTAATCAGCACAGCCCACAAATTCTAGATACACAAGTGCAGTTAGCAAAGCTATCGTACCTCTGGAGACTGTCTTGGTTACAACAATCTCGTGGCCCACTGAGATGGACGGCCACCCATTCACTAGCCTAGGTTGGCAATTGCTTGTCCAACCTGTTCGTAAAACCTCCAAAGGATGCACATTCCACAACGTCCTGGGGAATCTGTTTAAGGTCTCACATCCTTGTGGCAAACAAAGAGAATTACTTCTTGTATTATCCTCAGTGGACAGAGAACTTTCTTCTTTATAACAATTAGGGATGTCAACATGTAGACGGCTACATGATTAACTGATAAGCCTGAGCTTATTGGTTAATCCTGTCGACTACGCATTTCCGCTCTCCCCCCACTTCCTCTGTATCAAAGGCAGCAAAGAGGGGAAACGGGAGCTGGTGCCCTGCAGAGCCAGCTTTTAAGCCAGCTCCCCATGAGCACAGGATCTGTCTTCACCCCTCTGCCCACAGGCAGCCGTGCAGAGGGTGAGGGGGCAGGTGGGAGCCAAGATGCATAAAGAGCTGGCTTTCAAACTGCCTTTCCACACATGCTGGTTCTGTGGACATGCCTAACCCATACCCCCCTTGTTGCCTCCTACAAAGGAGGGGAGGGGTAGGTGAGAGTTGCCTGCCCCCACCTGTTCTGCTGCCTCTATTAGTGGCAGCAGCACAGGTGGGAAGGGGAGGCTGCCACAGAGCAGTCCCTGTCCACGGCAGGTCCTGGCTCGCTGCATACAGAGGCTGATTTGCAGCATCAGCCCCTGTCCACGGGGCAGGGTTTCCAAGCTCCCCGCAGACAGAGGCTACTTCTCAACCCACTGAGCAGTCTCTGTCTGCAGTGAGCCTGGACCCACCACAGACAAAGGTTGCTCTGCAGCCAGTTGAAACTGGCTTCCCTTACGTACCAGCTCCCACCTGGCACCCTGTGCTGCTGCCTCTGATAGAGAGGCAGAAGTTCGGAATGTCAGGGTGCTCCCTGGTAGTGGGGCTGGGAGTGCTCTGGCTGCCAGCCCTGCCCCTAGGGACTATTGAATAGTCTTGTAACCACTAAAATTTTACGCAGTTACACGATTATTAAATTACATCCCTAATAACAGTCTTTTACATATTTGAAGACTGCTATCACATCCCATTTCTGAACCTTCTTGTCACTAAACTAAAAATGTCCGTTCCTTTCCTCACAGAACATGTTTTCTAAAGCTCTTAGCATTTTTATTGCTCTTCCTTATGCTGTCTCCAGTTTTGTTCATATCCTTCTTTAATTGTGTCACCCATAACTAGACACACTATTCGAGCTGAAGCCCCACAAAGCCTGAGCAGAATGGTACCATTTCCTCCCATGACTTAAATGTAACATTTCTGCTAATACAGTACACACCAGAATCATATTTGTCTTTTTTGCAACTATACCGTATTGTTGGCTCATATTCAATGTGTAATCCACTATAACCCCCAGATTCTTTTCTCCAATACAACTGCTTAGCCAGTCATTCCCATTTTCTATTTGTGAATTTTATTTTTCCTTCTTAAATGTAGTACATAGCCCTTATACTTCAAAACAACTCCATCTAGTTTCTGAAACTTTATCCTGAAACTGCTGATTGTGAAATATGTCTTTATTTAATAGGGAGGGAGCCATATAGGAATGACATTGATAAGCAGATAATTTCCATTTATTTTAAACTAGAAGATTTGTTGCTCAGGTCCTTAACTCAAATAATTTTTGTTTTTTCTTCATCTAAATCATTACTCTAGGATGGGGCTGGAGATGAGGGGTTCAGCCCTCTCTCACTCCAGCAGCTTGGGGCCAGTTACAAAGCACCTCTCTATGGCCGCTGCTGCTCCAGCGAGCACACCTGGGGGAGGGATGCATGTCCCCTGGCTGAGGCAGGTCCAGGTTTGTGTGCTCCCTGCACTCACCAGCCAGAGTGACGAATGCAACAAACTTTATGAAGGCGAACAGCCAGCAATGTTCCCATATGATAGGGAGCCGGGTTCAGTGCCCCCTCCCCTCCTGCCCTAAAGGGCACCTGGGGAGTGGGAGGCTCTGGGCTGGGGCAGTCCTGGAGGGAGGGAGGGGGTGCACCCCCAGCCAGCCCCTTTCATCTGTCTGGTGATTCTGACTCTTTTCTGTGTGATTTAATGAGAAACAATCCCATTCCAGGCACATCCCATTTTCCTGGCACAGCCTAATTCTTACCTTTAAGTTATGATAAGAGCTGCATACCGAATCTGATGGTCCTAGCTCTTATCGTTTAGGAGGAGTTCTTAAACAAATGGTCAGATGGACAGGACAGATGGATGGACAAACTCTCATGTCCAAAAACCATATGATGTGTGTGTTGTTTATAAATAGATAAAATCTTATTAATTTTTGATTGACTAATTGGCATCAGGTTTAGTTAAAATTATCTGATGTTTAGCTCAGGTTTAGTTAAAATTAGCTCATGTTTTCTCAGTGGGTTGCTGACAGTTTATGCTACTCCATAACAGTTCAGATTCTAAATATATCAGACTAGGTTATTTTACCTCAGTGTCTTCCTGATCAAATTTTGCTTAATTTACAAAGGTAAAGATACTTGTTCTAGCTGGTATCCCTAAAACTCAGTCTGGATTTTGAAAACTGAATAAGGTTCTTCCTGGTTTATGTTTCATAACTAGAACTATGACTCTGTGGGGTAAATGTTTCTGTTAGTTACTGTATTAAAGGCATGATCTGCAAGAGTGCTGGAAAGGGGCTGAGGTTTATTTTTTAATCCCAGTCACATGACCTGGCTCAAAGTTACAAAGATCAATGTCTTTTTCACAACACAGGAATTATTGCCCACTGCTTCTCTGAGTTGACCTTAGGCATCTTCTTCAGAAACGTATTAGCAAGGGACACACAAGACTTACTTGTATTCTAGGACCAGAGGTTCCTAATGTCTCCTGCCAAAAGTGTTTCTGTGAAAGCATTTTTAAGTAGGCCCATATTAGGGAAGTGTGAGCTGTACTCTTTAGTTTATTTTGCAAAGTGAGGGGCAGGGTTACATGCATACATTTGGTATATTCAAAACCCTAGTGGCTCCAAGCCACACTGAGATCATCCTGCTTTCAGTGTTTTACCAAATGTACATGTTCTGCTGATACAAAGATATCTATTATCAGGTCAGATGGTTTTATTCTATGAAAGTGTGTATAGTTTTATGTCGGTATATATTTCTGAAGCTTGACAAATTCAGCAGAAAGTCTAAGAGAAACATGAACAATAGTGTGACAAGTCAACTGCCAGTTCAAACATACTCAAAAAGAGAGAAAGAAAGCCAGAGAGCTAATGAACTATTACAAACCCCAGATGTCTTTTTTTATTGGCTTTTCTTATTCAGTGTAAATTGACACTTCCTGAAGTAAATAAGTTAAACAAGGGGTGGCCAACCTGTTACATACAAAGAGCCAAAATAGTGGTGGATACAGCACAAAGAGCCAAGGGAAAAAAGTTGTTGAGAAAAAGAAAAAGGGGGCCCAGACTCTGTCCTTTTAAGAGCAGAGTAGGCATTGTCCTTTTAATGGTGGCCATTTTGAGCAGCCATTTTGAAGGATGCATGGGACGCTGCGGCTCTGTCTCTTTTTGCCTCCATTTTTTTCTTTGAAGAGCCGCGGGTTGGCCGCCCCTGTACTAAACCTTAATAAGTAGGCAGCTTCCCTGGTAAGAAAAACTAGAAGTTTCAGTGTCTGATCTTTCATTTGTACAGTTCAGCCAGACCCACCTGTAAATCTGTCTCTAGAAGTAATACAGTCATCTGGGATATTTCATCTTTGGGCAAAGTGGTCTCCACCTCCATTGGCTGATATCAGATCTGGTTGGCTTATACTTCATTTTGAGTTA